AAAAAAAAAAAAAGAAAAAGAAAAAAGGCGTGAAAAAGAAAACGAAAAAGAAAAAAACGAGCACATGCCGACCCCCCTACCCGACCCCGACATTTGGGCCTCTGCTGCAACTGCCGTTTTTTTCTTTCAACCCCTTTTTCTCTCGAGGGTGGAAAAAACCTGCTCATCAAGGGGTCTCGACCTGCAGAGCGTGTATTATACAAGGCTGTACTCAATCTCATAACGATCTTGCGACCTGGACGACCGCAGTAAATCTCTCCGCGTATCACCGTAACAGTAACAGTAACAAATAAAAGAGGTTGAATCTGTCACTTCAAAAAACTAATCTGTCATTTCAGTGAAATTGAAATTGAAAAGTGAAAAGTGAACTGAACAAAGAAACAACAAAAGAAAAAAAGAAAAAGAAAAAGGAAAACAAAGTTTTTTTTTTTTTTTTTTTTTTTTTTGAAAGGGCTATGGCCTCGAGGTATTATCATCAGACTAACCAGCCCAGGGGCCAAGTCCCACTAGCAGCGTTGAGCTACCTCAACCGTCCGAATGTGGACGCTTTTGCGGACATGTGCAGAAATGGTGTTGAGTTTCCAGAACTGCACGTCCACATTCAGGCGTTGAGTTAGCTCAACGCTGCTAGTGGGACTTGGCCCCACGTAAATTCAATCTTGTGTCTAATCTGACAACGGTGGCCTTTTCAGCCCAGGGTGGCCTGATAGCCTTAGGGTGGCCTGATAGCCTTCAGGGCCGTGGCCCCACTAGCAAAGGGGATAGGATAGAAATCCTGAATCTGGCTATGTTTTATGCAGAGATACAGAAAACCAGTTCTATCTCGATTCCCTGCTCCTGTCCTCAAACACGTCCAGATTCATCAGGCATTCAATCCTATGCTCTTTGCTAATGCGACCACAACCCAGGGAACCCCCACTGGGGGGCACCGGCCAGGGGATAGCCGGTAGCAGAGGGACCGAGCATCATCTGAGTGGCCAGTCGCTGTGCCTCCCTGAGTATCGGAGGAATGGGCCTTTTGTTCTCAAGGCCCGAAAAAAAAAACGAAAAAAAAAGGAAAAAAAAAAAACAAAAAAGAAATAGGGAGCTGTCGAGTTGAAAGGAAAACACGACACGACCTTACCGTGATGACGGGTGAAAACAAGAGCCACGTTCAACCACTAGCTGATCGGAGAAAAAGGTTTTTTCTTTCAATGCATGTTGCCACGTCCTTCGGCACTATTCATTCATTCGTTATCGTTATTCTGGGATTATTCTGGGATTGGTCGATTTACCGCGCCGGCGACGACCAATAACCTCTACGTGCACGTGTGTATGTGCACCTGTGAATGCATGGACGTAGACTGGAGGTATGCCCAGATGCATTCAAATCAGTGAATCGTACGGATTACCTCGTCATACGTGAGGAGAGTCTTTCCTCGTTAGTGGCGGTTGGCGGTGGTTTGTCAATTCAGTGCATACTACCTGGGTAGCCGCACTACGCTACTACTCGCCATCCGGCAACATTCTGAATGCATCTGGTCTCGCCACTTGTCCACATGCGTTCAAAATGCTGGCGGCTGGCGAGTAGTGCCACTACGCCCTCACCGCGTTCGTTCGCTCTGCAGTTTCCGGCCGGCGAGCCTACTTGCCCGATTTCTTTTTACTTGCCCGATTTCCCAACTCCACCACGTATAGTTCTCCCTTTTTTTTCCTTCTTCTTTTTTTTTTTCTTGTTCTCCCCCTGCGGCCACGCCTCCTCTCTCTCTCTCTCTCTCTCTCTCTCTCTCTCTCTCTCTCTCTCTCTCTCT